TCTTTGGTCCATCTGTGAAAGTCACTTTATTAGGTACAGCTAAAGTGTCTAATAAAGTGAGCAGCCCTAGAGGAACTTGATAAAAATGACGGGTCATGTTATTACCTTGTGTACCTCTGTATGCCTGTGTACCGAAGTGTCCTTCTTCCCAAATTTTAAACCTCAACCCACACAAGAAAATGCAATGCAAAATGTCCAACAGCAGTAAAAATCCCACAGTTTCTCCAGAAATTGCATGGTCTAGTTTAGCATATTGTTTTGGTCATAGAATTTGGAACCTGGACACTTTCAGTATCATTTTTCAGCTGTTTTCAGCAAAAACCTGGGATAATTCCACTGCATCTCACAGCCTAGCACTGAATGGCAAACGTTAGCAGCTATCTGGAGAACTTAATATAGTATTTAGTAGCTTAAGAATATTTCTCTCTAGAGATGGTAGAAATTGAGCTCAAAAGGAAAGTGTATATTTGTTTTTGCATTTTCTGGATGGCCAGAAAGTCAAAATGAATTAAACTTCATGTTAATCTTCCGCCCTGTCTGCTGGGTGTTTGAACTGCGAATTGTTTTACAAGTTGAAATTATATTACTAGTTTTTTTGTTCATCAGTATTATGTTTGGAGCTTTCTGTGCTGCACCCAAATGACCATAAAAATCTATAATTACATGTTTTAAAAACATAACCTTCTATTATTCTTTTTTCCTTGTCACTGAACGTGGAAGAGGAGATGAAAAGCATCCAATATAGCATTTAATAATAGTGAAGTGAGAGCTGATTGGGCAGGACAGTGTCTTAATATTGAAGCATAATGCTATATGTTTGGGGAAATTAGTTCAGTAGGTTTTGGGCAGACATTTTAACACTAAAACATTTATAGGAAACATTTTATTTTTCCTACTAGCCAAAACAACTTGTGCCTATGTTAAGTTGAGGGACAGAAGCAGATTCAGGAGGCTGATAACTGCCCCCTGATGCCTGCAAGGCACCATATTATAAATTGAGTAATTACATTATAGTTACAGTTATGCAATTACTTGTGTTTCAAAGGTACTTCAGATATCTGTACACATGGCTTTCTTCCTTCACAATTAATGCAAAAACCAACTGATTGCAATTAGTGTGCAGGCAGCAGCCAGACCCTGAACTTCAACAGGTAACAAACTGATGAGCAGTCAAGCCACAGTCTCCGTTTCTACCTGTTCATGTTTCTAAAGCAGAATCTCTGTGGCGATCACTTTAAAGTCTCTTTGGGCTGGTTTCCATCTTTGCTTTGTGTTTGTGTTCACATGTAAAAACTAAAAGAAAGACTGTGTGTGTCCTCATTAGGATAGGGCTTTGCGTTGGTGTGTGGGACTGTAGCCACACATCAACACAAATAAAAATGTAAACTGCAAAACATAGACAATAAAAAGAAAGCTCTGACTGCAGTTCCAAGGCCATAAGTATTTAAAGTTTTTGAATTTTACCTTTAATTTAAAAAGTTTAACAAAGCTACTGCAATAACTGTGAAATTACAGCCATTTTTATGTGTAGCCCCCTATTTTCACAGGCTCAAATGTAACTGCACAAAATAATATAATGTTTTAAAAACTATACTTTTCTTGATTCTTTCTAATACTTAGATGAAAATCTCTTTCGGGCAATGACTGCCTAAAGTCTAGAACTCAATGATGAGTTGCTGCTTGTTTGTGGGTCTCTCTGCATTCATTTTTGCATTTACTGAATGAAAAGCGTGCTCTGCTGGGTTGAGATCAGGCGTCTTACTTGGTCGTTGGAGAATATCTCATTTCTTTGCCTTGAGAAACTCTTGGGTTGCTTTTGCAAAATTTGTGGGCCGTGAGATGCCATCTGATCAGTTTTGCAGCATTTCGCTGAATCTGAGCAGAGAGCCTTGTACACTTCACAATCCATCCTGCTACTTCTATCAGCAGTCACATCATCAATAAACACTAGTGGCCTGCTTTCTCTGGCAGTCATACATGCCCATACCATAAACTTTCATCCACCATGTTTGACAGATGATGTGGTATGCTTCAGCTCATAAGCTGTTTTTCTCCTTCTCCGTACTTTTCTCTTCACATCATTCTGGTTGAAGCTAATCTTGGCTTCATCTATCCAAAGATTTTTTTTTTCGCTATTGTGTAGACTCTTAGATGTTTTTTTGGGAAAAGCCTAATCTGACCTTCTTGTTTTTGAGTGTAATCAATAATTAATAGACATCTTTTGATTGTAGACTTTAATAAGGATACACCTCCTCAAGAGTGTTCTTGATGCTGGTTGGTTGTTTTTCTAAATCACTGAAATGAATTTTTTTCCCATCATCTTCCACTTTGGCTGTCTTCTGTGATCCTTCCAGCCTTTTGGTGTTGATGAGCTGGTCAGTGCATTCCTTCTTCTAAAAAAGTACCAAAATGTTGATTTAGCCACTCTCAAAGTTTTTGTTATCTTTCTGATAGGTTTATTTTGGTTTTTCGGCCTCATGATGGTCTCCTTCACTTGTGTCAACATCTCTCTGGGCCTCATATTGAGTGTTCAAGTGAACAGCAACCAAATGCAAATTTAACAGTTGGAATCAACTCCAGTTCATTTATCTTCTTAATTTGTCATGAAATAACAAGGGAACAGGCCATGAAACCGCTTGTCAGTCAGTCGTCCAATGAACTGTTTAAATCCTAAACAGTTAATGTAATATTTTTGTGAAAGTCTACAATCATCAATCACATATTGATTGTTTGATTTCAAATAAACTGTGGCATTGGACGGAAGCATTTTTTAAAATAAAGAGTCAATGTCCAAACATTGAATGTGAAGTGAAGTTTTATCTGAATCGTCTACTATAAGACAAATGGTCCATACCAAAGCCGGTGGTGCCGTAAAAGCGTGCAAATTCCAGCACAAACTCTATTTTTTTTTTATAACTTCAGCTATCGGTGTTCACATGCCAGATTTCCGTGGGGTCATCTCTCTCAGATCATTATAGTGATAATAATAAGAGTCAGTCGGTCTTCCAACCTCCGGTTCACATTGGTCCAAAACCGCCCACTTAAATAAAAAGCAGTTTGCCCTCTCAGCTGATCTGTTTCATCAATATAAAATACAGAGATCATTAGAAAGCTAAGCTATATCACAGATCTTCCCGTGTGTGCAAATGTGCACGTCCGCTCACACAGTACATCCATCTGTTTGTGCATATGTAAGTTCATCTGCGCACAAACGTGTGAACGGTCATCTGTGTGTATGCTAAGTTGTGCGTGCGTAGGCGTAGGGGGAACCTGATCTGGTCTGTGTGGGAGGAACCAGTCCCCCCCCTTTAGTATCCAGACAGACGGCCTGCTAGAGAGATCAGACTGTCAGACTAACTGGACCAGAAGTCATTAGGACACGCTAGACACACAGAGCTTTTTCAAAGCTATTGCTTCCTTTTAAAAAGACAAAAAAAAGCAGTAAGATTATCTACATTTCATCGGCTCATGATAGGACTAAGATCTTTAAGACATGCGGTGCTTTTCAGATCTTTTTCTCAGAAACCTATAAGCAGCAGGGACCACTTATTTTGAATCCGTGTCCTGAGATTTAGTCTTTTGTCATCCCGCGTTACGTTTTAGAAGAAAAAAACTCGTAGGGCATATCAAACAACTGTATTCTTTGGTATAAGCGATTATAGGCTTTGAAGCTATCTTTAATTCAGATTTTAAGGAACTTTCAGACGACACGTTTCTCTCGTTCATCACCTTTGTGAGTTGTTTCTTTAAAGTGCGTGTCCTCTAAAAGACATCCATCTGGGGACATATTAACTCTAGAACTGGCTGTGAGTCCCCAGTAGTGATATAATTTGGGGGGTGTTTGTAAGATCTGACACATGCACACACACAAAATAAATCAGCTTTGTTTTTCAGCACCATTTCCACTAAAAGCTGTTTTTTGGCAGCGGAAAGTGGCATTTGAATTTTTTGTTAGTTGTTTTCCTTCATCAGGCACTTGTCACATTGTAGGAAAAAGCTCGATAATTGGCACCTCAGTCACAGAAACAGCTTGTTAGCGTTGTTAAAAAATAATTTGGGAACACCGAACTAGTGCAGCACAGCGGTTAGCCTCCATTAAAAGAACAGGCTCAATTTACATTTCTTTTAATGATGGAAAATAGCTTAAGAAATTCTACTGTTATATGACTTTGGGACACCAGTGGCATTATATGATTTTAATACTCTTCATGCAGGATAATATATCACCCAGATGATGCAACATTTTCAGGTAGCCATAACTTCTATCCTCTGACCTTGAAGATAATGTAGGAAAAATGTGTAGTAGTCACAGGAGAAAGAAAAAGATAAATTATTATTTTAAAAAAGAGAATATGCTCAAAAATGAAGGGCAGAATCTACATTTTCCATCACAGCAGTTGCCAGACTGGAGGAGATGCTGTATGAAGGTGATGGAGGACGCAGAGTCAGAAACACTGGAAAAGGCAGCAGAAAAAATAAGAAAACAAGACGATGATGTATGGATGCATCGATAAAAGGACAAGTTCAGAAGAATGTAGCTGGTGTGGGGCTAAGCACACTGGAAAGCCATCAACAAGCAGACTCTGGGCAGTGGCACTCCAGGGAAAAGAGAGGAAGAGCAGAGGAGAAGAGAGAACAAGCATGTGGAAAGGTAAAGAAGAGGACAGCAAAGGGACAAAGGCAGATGTCCAAGTAGCCAACCTGCAGATTCAATTTTGCTCATTTTCCTCCCCTCTCCCTTTGCCTTGCCTTTTTCTTTCCTCCTTAAGCCTCTGTTGCCAACCTCATCTGCAACTTTAGTCAGTCTGAGCAACAGCAGCACCAACTAGAACCGAGTTCTCGAGGAGAGAAGGAACAAGCATGTGAGCGAGAAAGAGAGCGCCACAGGTGAATAAGGGTAATTAGGTTTATGTGAGCTATGGGATCAGACAGAGAGGAAGTTCCACTTAATTCTCTCCACCAGCCACAAAAGGATAATACAGCATTGATTTGCTATTAAAATATATCTGCAGCTCACCGGAAAGTCACGGTGGAAACTTCTACAACGTTTATTGGTTGGGACTGGCAAGAATTAGGAGAACATTTTAGAGTACAATCTGTTTAACATACCAGCAGCATATGAATGAAATTTAATCCCAGATATACAAACAATTTATTGCTCATCTTGAGTTAAGTTCAACTCTCAAAAATGATTATTAGAAATAACCAATGCCAACAATGTTCCAGCATATTTTTGTGATGTCATATAGCCAAAGATTGTACCTCAAAACGATGCACATTGTTTCTCAAAAAAAGTCATATAGCCGTTAAATAACATAGTTTCATTATATAATGTTATGTCACATAAATATACATTTATACTTCAGTTTACACATTAATAACACACAGCTTTTCGGGAATACAAGTTTATGAGTGTGTTTTCAGATCATGTGCCATAAGTTCTCAGAGTCACTGATACAGTCAAGAGTCTTTTATAAGTGGTATTAAGAGGTTCTTGGTGGTGTTGGTATGCATGTGAAAGCCATTTGAAAGTTCTCAAACTCTAATTTTTTTTTTTTTTTTAAAAAAGGTCCTTTAACAAAATGCAAACTTTAGTTAAAATGTTCCTGGAAAATCCTGGAAGTGCTGCAAGGAGTCCTTCAAAAGTCTTTGAGTCTGGTTAGTCTTCAAGTTGCAGTAATTTTAAAAATCGCTGTAAGCAAGTGATGAGCATTTTATCCACGTGGCTCGTGTCGTCGTTGTTAGCTCCTTATGGCGGTCTTCCTGTCTCTGTCTTTATTCTGCAAGAGACAGAAACAACATCTCACATCATTGACGGGTTCACTGAAATCAAACTGAAACAACCGTTTGGGTTTTGCTCTCATGAGTTAGAGCTGGAGAAAACTTAAACGGTAGGTGGAAAAAAGGCTAACTGCCATCCAGAAGATTGATTCTTTATGGATGTTGTTGGTGTTTTTACTTGATATATTTCATAGATTTCTCAGGAGGGTGGCTTGAGAAAGTCTTTCCTCCTGTGAGTTGACTTTATCTGTCCACTCTCACAAATATAAAAAACTATTTGAGGTAAGATCAAAGAAACAAAGGTTATAATCTGCGATGGATACTTCTTAATCGTCATTTCATGAAACTTTGCCAGTTTTGATCGAAGCTTTCTCTGGTTTCATCAACACAAGTATACTTTACGTTTAATGAATTTATTCAAACCATATTTTATCACAGGCTAAAGAAGCCCAGCAATTTTACAGTAAAAAAAATCATAACAGGTAAAAAAGATGATTTTTTTTAATGTAAACCATAAAAAATGCACTGAAAAATATATGGTTTAGTACTGGAATCACTGGCACAGCAAGTTCATGTGGTTTTAGATGTACTCTGCTTTTAGTTGATGGGAGAGTGAATTAGCCTTGACTGCATGAAGTAAACTCACATAAACACATTCTGTAATGTAGCACACAACATTAATTGTGGTGGCAGAGAGAAATGAGCTTTTCTTTAATACTATTACAGCCTGAAGATTGACATCATGAGCTGGTTCATGACAGCAGAGCATGATGATATGCTTCTCATTTATCTGTGGTATCAGAGCAAGAGGCCCTGATTTCCTGGCTGGTTGGGAGACCTTCGCTATCTGGCCAGGAAAATAACATCACTTTTTCCCTCTTCACCTAACCTCTTCTCAGCTCACTTGGGCCATCTACCACTGGCTTTTCAGGCAACAGTCAAGGGATTTTATTGAACACACCACTGAGTGATATGCAACACATATCATCCATGCTTTTCTAAAAAAAATTTAAAAAAGGAGAAAAAAGACTGATGTTTTAAGGATTAACTCATAGCTGACAACGGATCTTTGTTATTTAATTCTTCAGCTGAAGAATAAGGCTGCCATTATCCCATATGCTAATATAAGCACTCATGTCCTCTCCTGACTTTTCTCTACCCCCTCTCATATCATCTCAACTAACCCTCTCTGCCTCCCACTTTCCTTTCCTCTCATCACGCCGAACACCTGTTACACATTTCCTCTCAGACGGCGCACAAGGTGTAGGTGTTTGGAAAAATCCGTTTGCCTGAGATCAACATAGGTGGGTTGGTGGTTGGAAGGGTATCAGGCGGTAATCAAAGAATGAGATCATAAGACTTGGACAGGAATTGGTACTCCCACTGACGGAGGTGAGTGAGTGTGAGGAGACGCAGAAACTGTTGTTGTCAATCCTTCCTCCAGCTGGATCAGCAGAGGATCATTAGATTACACTGCAATTGAACCATTACCGTTGCTAGACATGAATCATTACCACTGTGTTACTGGCTGCGAGTGCAAGTATGAGCAACACCAGCGGTATAATTTAGTATGTAGTAGCCACGCTTAAAAGCAGCTACTTCATGTGACCAAATGTGTCTTATTTGTTCTTCTGTTGTCCTGTTTTCAAAACTAAGTAGATAGTAGATGAGATATTACTAGCATAAGGAAATATAAGAACATCAATCAGCACATGTAGGGTTTCCTCATTTGTAAAGTCCATAGAGGTCTTTCAGCCTTAATCCTAATGCAAATAAGCATATGTTTACCACCATTTATACTCTCAGTTGCCTTCTGGATTGTTTGTACCATAAATACACAAGAGGCACTTATATCATATTAAGAGTTTCTTATGACCCAAAGACAAAACGAGTGGGAGAAAAGGACAGAAAATCCTTATTTTGTTGGTGTCCGTGGATCCCATCTGTAGATTTGCTCTTTTTTGCTGAAGAGCGCAGTTTTATAATTTATAGTAAATCTCTTGGCTGTGATTCGTGAACCGCTGGGGGATCCCCCCACATTAAGAACCCTTGCTTCAGGCACAAATCCATTCCTAATACAATTGAAGAGTCTTGCTATGATCACTGTAAAAGATTGCACAAGACTAATGATCTGCCTTAAATCGTCTGTCAGTTTAACCATCTGACATGACATGTAGTCTTCCTCAGATGTCTATTTTGTGTCACTTACAGCCTGGAAAACCCTCAGCTTCATTGACGCCGTGCTCTCATTGTGCTTGTTCTCTTTCACAAACCATCAAAACCATCAGTTGGAAGACAAAAACGCAGCCATGCTCCTGGGTGTTTGTTGGAAAGCAACGGGGAAAATTAAAGGCATTTGTCAGTGGAAGGAAAAGTACTTGAGGCAGTTTAGAGTTAAAGTGGGTACGTGAGAAATTTCACTTGAAACCTGTGTGTGAAAATTGGATGATTTCCCAAATTACATCAAATTACAGCGGAATCGGTAGGAATCAGCCCACGTCTCATTGTTAGTGCACCGTGACAGTTTAGAGGCACAGCTGTAGCTGGTGTAGGCGGTTCAGCTGGAGTGAAGCCGGTTCAGTCAAAACAGAAGGTGGAGGGGATTTGGGGAGGGGGGCTTTAAGGCTGGCCTGGTAGTCAAAACAATCTCCTGAAGACTAATAGGGCATGCTCGGATGACATCTCTGCTCTCTCTTTTCTCTTTCCAAACAGGCTCGCGCGCACACACGCATACCGCTGTCTTCCCAGGAGGCCGATTTGTCTGACATTAATATGATTACCTGCTGATGTTTACTTTAGATATGATATGATGATACTACCAAACTTGAACAATATTTTTGGACCAACAAGGAGAAAGCAGCCTGTCTTAACCCTAATGTGAAGACAGTAAACACTGTCTTCACAGCATCTTATCAAGTCCACAAATTCAGTCTTTAGTATTGTTTTTCCGAAACCCAATCCTGCCGTTCCTTCACCTATAACTGGATTTTCCATTCTCTTTTTTTCCTGTGTTAAGCTGTTCTGTCAAATACAAACATCTAATTTAGTTTCTGGCTGCACGAGGACAGGAATGACTGGTTGGAAAAAATAATTTCTACTTGGGCACTGGCCCGCAATCGTATAAGGAGATTGGTATTTAACCATGAAATGAAAACTGGTAATATCCTTTCAGTTTAGCGAGTGAAAGTATGTGTATGCGTCAGGGCCTCTGGTGGCTTATAGAAGCTGTAATTTCCCCCATAAATGATCATTAATTGATAAATAAAACATAAGAGACTTCAATTAAGTGAAATAAAACACAAAATAAGGCCCCAGTCTGCCACTATGTGACTTGGACACATCACAAATTCATGTTCATTGCAGCTTTGCCAGTAAGCACGGCTCTTGATTAATCTTAGATTGCCTAATTAGATGCTGCTTGCACCAGGCAGCCGCACATGTACTTTATTTTCCCCAGCATTTTAAAAATCTGTTTTAATGACTCCATAACAAGCCAGACTTCATTTTCACTAGTCTCAGATGACTTAATTTTGTTACATTATGCACTAACCAGCTCTTGATCATCAGTGCTAAGATGTAGACCCTAAAAAAACCAGTATGTCATTAGCTTCAGTACATATTGTTTCAAGAAACAGCATAAATCCTGCTTTGTCGCTGTGTTTCTCTAAAGCCTGGCTCGACTTTCTGTATTTTTGCTTTAATTTGCTCGGTGAGCGGCCCTTTCCCCGAAGACCGAATGGCTACAGAATGATAGTTTTGCTAATAGATTTTGTTAGTTATCTGACCCGGCTTCTTCTGCTGGTGTTAAATTAGGATTTAACCGTTTCCATCTGTGCTGAAAATATACAGACAGGTCCACGCTCGAGGGCACACACTCGTACACAAACTCACACACACCGAGCGTGGCTGAGAATACATTTAGACGCTGCCATCAGCGTGTTAGCTGCCTTCGATGCACCTCATTAGCATAGCGAAGCTCTTGCTCACGAGGCACGAAAAACATTCCCTCCAACTCAACGCTGGCATTATCAGCAAATGAGGGCAATTTAGTTTTCATCTATGACGTTCTACCGAGACGTCGACTCTGTGCACAAAAGTGACGCAATGCTTTTTTCCAGTGAAAACAGACTAATATCCAAATAACTGCAAAAACCGCAGTCATTAGCGCGGCCCCGCACATGTCCTATGCATGCATTTAAGCCCTCTTTAGGCCCATGGTTCATTTGATCTCTATAAAGAAGCAAAGTGTAGTTTGAGCACAGCCTAAAAACCAACTGTCCAAACTGGAGGATAAATAGCTAAGTTGATTATCCCGCTGAGTCGTTGGCTATTTCTCTTTCTCTCTCGCTCTACTTCTCCATCTCTGTTTCCACAACTTCCTGCACACCATTAGTTTAGAAAGTGTTGAAAGCGCAGCCATGATCCAGAACTCCTTAACTAAGTAATCATATTTAAGACTTTTTTTTTTCTCTTTTTTGCACGCTGTCTAGAAGTGGTGAACGGCTGTCTGGTTGGAAAGACTAGGAGGTAGGGTGAAATGCTTTTGATAAAAGTGTCTGAGTGCGGTGGTGTGCTGTGTGCCCACATGTGTGTGTATATATATATATGTGTGATTGGTGTGGGCGTGAGCGTAAGCAGGGAGGGCGTTTCACAGTGAGTGGTTTCCAGGCTCCTTTAACATCACCATCAAAGCCCAACGTCAATGTGTTTCTAATAGCAGCCGCTGAATTAAACACTGGCTGTATGGCCTCAGCAGAGGATAAATCATTTACAGAACAATTAGCTCATTTGTTGCTCCGCTCTGTGCTGCCAATGACTTCCAGACACAGAGAGTCAGCCAGTGTGTGTGTGTGTATCTGTCTGTGAGTGTGTTTGCAAGGTTGCTGCTTAAGACACGTTAAAAAATTCACTCTAGATGTGTCACTCACATCCGTCTCATGCAAAAACAAATGCAAGTGGTCCTCGCCCTCACACCAGCAGAGAAGAGGTGTGTTTCCAGTTGCACAGTGAGATTTTAGTGCCCCCGTCTCTCCATCCACATACAAAAATCACCATACGTAGTTGTGCTGCAGCCAAGATATAAATCAGAACCGTTTGCGTTATCAAAGGCAGAATGCATTGTCTGGTTACGTTTGCTTTTTGATTTCCAGAAATTCCAAATAAATGACCTCCGTTGAGTGCGAGTAAAACTCTGGGCCGTGCCTTAAAACGCTTGTAAACGCATCTAAATTTAACCATTTCAAAAGAAGCGCTGGTCTATTTACACCAACCACACCATAAGCACCAGAGCAGTTATATTTTCACCAAATTCACAAATTTTGTTTCCGAACATAAGATGTGGCTTTTAATTAATCAGATGAGCTTCTTCGAAATTCAAATGATGGAAAACGCTTGGGCACGTCACATCCAGCTTGAAAGGAGAATGCAGTGTGATTGCTCTTATTGGCAGACGAACTGCTATTTCTATTTACTTTAGCCCTTGAATTGAATTAACCCGCTCTCTGTTTCGGGCCAAAAGAAATAGGCCACAGTTGAACGCTGCGGACTAGAGACAGACAGATTAGCACATTTTAAAAGATGTTTGTTTTGAATCACGTTTTGCATAAATTCAGATTGTAAAATAACTGCAGCAGACAACCACCTCGACACTTTCACCATCACTGAAGGTGACCTCTACCAGATATTGACTTAAGACAATAAAGAGCTGATTATTATAAAAGCTGCCACTGTGAGCTTCGCCTGTCACATGTTGAGTCCAGGCATCTGACAGTTGCACTGACAGCAAAGAGCCTTTGCACAGGATAGCTGCATCAATCAAGTAGACAGCACGGGGATTTGAGCAGTGCTCGGCTCACCTCAGTCGTCTGTCCTCAGTATTGTACATCTCATTTACAGATGTAGCCATCAAGCATGTCCCCCCCCCCTTCCTTTTTGTTTAAATCCAAGTATCAAAGGCACCAGCATGCAAGAGCTGCTATCCAGTTTGTCTTTGCCAAACTTGGTGCTCCACCCCTTACACATCAGATTTTTGCTGTGATATATATGAACATTCAAGGAGGTGTTTGGCATCAAAACAAAAAAGATACTGAGAGTAAATTTCACAAAGTACCTTTTCATGCTTCACCTGACACTTTAGGGCATCAAGAGAGAGATTTTGTTCTTTATGTTGGCATAAAAAATTTAAAATAGATAAAAAAAAAATTTCCTGACAAGCCTCTACTAAACCTCTATCCAAGTATCTTGAATTTTTCAGACGACTTGAAGGTGGGTGAAATTTTTTAACCTAAAATCTGACAAAAAAAAAAAAGAAAAAGACCCGTCATTCATCAAACGGCTGACATTTGACGACGCAGCGATATTGAGATGGTTTTAATCATGTTCTGTATCATTTTCAGGAAACTCACCGTAAATGAGTGAAATTCATTTTAAAGCTCCTAAAGAACCGACACATAATGAAATCACATCATTATTCCTCCGACTCTGTAAGATGTAAAGCGTAGCACTCCGTGTGCAGTAGTCATTACTAACAACACTGTTTGTTTTGAAACAGTTATACAGCATTCACACACATAATAAGAGGAAATGAGCGTATACTTTTCTCACTTTCGCCCTCTCCGACGCTGGAAAGAAGTGTAACTGAAGCAGCTGGTCTAAGCAGACCTGACAGCTGTGATGAACCTCAATGACCATAAAAACATACAAAGAGAGCACTCAGGACACAAAGTCTCATTTTACCTTCACAATCGTTTCCTCTCTGTAATCACCAGCACCGACTCTGCTCTTTAGCCCACTTAGACCCACTATAGCCACTTTTCCAGAGAAAACGAAATGCTCTCAGGTTCTGCCAATCAGAGGAGGCCAAATGAACCTCATTTTTCTCCTAAAATATATTTTAGATAATTGCATCAATTTAATTTGGAAATCGCACAATAAACATTCAGCGTGGATACATGAGCCTCTTTGCACTGCGTGTGCCGATATGATGGCGAGGAGGAGCACTGGAGCCTGGTGGAGTGATATTATTATCACTCCACCAGGCCTTTGTTGAAGGGTCCAGCTAACAAGTCCTGTGCTTGTATCCAAAGCCCAGCTCAGCTTATTCCTGTGTGCCAATACAGCTTAACTTTAAACATAGCCACACAGTGTATGCTGTACTTGTACCCACACAACATCCTGCTGCTAATCGTCTAACTAACCAAGTGAAGATTAATCCACCACTGAAATTAGACCAAGAAAGTGCACCATTTAACATTTTTACTGGTTGTATGCAGTAAAAAAAAAAATGCAATATTGAATAAAAAAAAAGAAGATCTTCACATTGTGATAGTGATAAGCTACTAAATTCACTTTAAGCATAAATGCAAAGACATTATAGTTGTTTGTGTGTGACTCATAAAACTGTTTGCATAAACCAAAACTAAGCAACCATTTCTACACCCTTGTGCTAACTCATCTTCTGTCTCCTCGCTTGCGATTCTTCTGGATTCGTTTGGGGAAGTCAGCCAAGTACGCTTGATGCAACGTACACAGCACGCAGGGGAGAATAATGAGACTTTTCATTGAGCTACTGGGAAACATCATAACGTGACTGACAGTGTGTAACACAGAGTAAGCTGAAGTGTCTGCGCTCGAGTGTTTTGACATGAGAAATAGTTTTCTACCCAGCATGCATTTACAGGTCAGTCATGCAACCACAGCAGCGAGCTGACAGCAGCAGATAGTATTACAAAGCTCCTACTGGCAGCTCTGACCTCCATCAGGTCGATCGATATGCACAAAGGTGGTGGTGGTGGTGTTTGAGGGGAGCCGGGGTGCACATGTTGAAGGTGATGAAATGAAACAGAATGAGATGTTTGTGAGGACAAATGAGGAAGTGAAGGAGTCAGCGAGGATAGACGGGTTAAAAAAGAAGGAGAGGAGGAGACGGTTGAGAGGGAAGGGGTACAGGTTTCAGGCGAGTTATCTGCGAGCTGAGGACGTCTGGGTTTGGACGCTCAGGACGTCTAGTTTTTCACTCGCAGAAGTTTGGAGGGGTGGGGGGGGTGGGACACTAAGACTGCTGAGTCTCAGGTTATCCCCCAGCTAAAGGGTCTCTGGGTTGAGACACTGAGGAGGGTATTAGCTTTCACACACTGCTGGGGTAACGGCGGAGTCTGCCAGATGTCAGCCCCTTACCCATAAATCCTGCTAAATGGGCGGCAGCTATGGGCTGGGGGGGGGGAAAGTCAACTCTTTATCATCTTCTGTGGCATTTGTCAAAATCAGAACTGGGGTCATATATATTTAACTTCACTCAGCTGATCCCTCATTTTCTGTATTTTCTCATCAAGCTGATGATTTTCATCTGTGAGAGTGGCTTTGATTATGTTAATTTCCCGCGATGACTCAATCAAATATGAGCAGAAACAGGTTCGCCCTAAGGTGTAGCTTATCCATTTTAATAGTTGTAGAGAAATGTAGATTTTTATCAAGATTATTGACAAAAGTGGAGAAGAAAAGTTGGTTGTTTTGGGTTTTTTGCTCTAAAATGTTATCGATTCTCCGCCTACATTTTGTCCTGTGACTGTGACTTTCACTGGAACAAAGTAATTGCCAGTTACCAATTTGTATCTCTCAGGTCAATCTCGAGAAGTCATGATTAAAACCTTCTCGTATTCGGGCTGACGTCAATGCATTCTTGAAATTATACGCATGGTTTTGGACGGATTTCATGGGCTCCTGGTCATAAATCTCAGTCACTGCATAAATACCCTTGTAAACTCTAAATTCATATTTTTTAAAAAGAGAGCAAAAACAACACCATAGATGGGTTTAGACACAACACTCGTACACATTTAGTCTGGAAAAACCCTGCGTGCTGTTTGAACCCAGCTCTCGGAGAGAAAAACAACCACTGCTGTGGACTGTAATGCTCAGAGATTTTCAGAAACCACCTGCTTGATTAAAACTAACCCCCGATGATACAATAACACTGAGTCCTTTAAAAAGTGGTTTTGCTTTTACAGTCCCTCTGGGCCAATCTGGTTTATGGGCACATTCACTGATCTCAGGTCAGCTGTCCTAAACCACCACACAGAGTCTCCGACCGCACTGGTCTTCAGCTAAATCTCTATCATTTGTATTTTGGAAAATTTAACAAAGATAAATTTAAAAAAAACACGACTTTTCTTTTTAACTTCCCGCCATTTAGTTTTAGAGGATTTTTAAGCAAAACGCACTTTTAACTTAATGTTTTCCCCGATTTCCCTCTTCTTCTTTTACTGACTGAGAGTTTGTTATCCGCTCACCATTTTCCTCTGGTTACTGAGGCAGAAGGTACAGATGTGCTTGGGCTGCGCTGATTGGTCGGATCCTCGGTTGGGGGAGGAGCTGACATGGAAAAACGGCGGTGAGGGAGCGTGGCAGGGCTGTCCGTCATGAAGCCCTTCGCCCAGGAGCAGCACGTTACCCAGATGGCTTATGTAGCTGCTGGCCAAACGCAGCGTCTCGATCTTTGACAACTTCCTGCAATCATGAAAACAGTTGTGGTGTTGACAGAGGAAAAAAAGAAATTCGGAGGGTAACGTAAAGATATCTGCCTCATAGGATATGTTCAAACCTGTAAGAGAATGATGCTAGATGCTAGAATTTTTCTTCCCTGTTCGAGTTTGGAGAGTTTCAGATTAAAGGCCTAAATATAAAACCGTCATTTATCTTGTTCTCCAGGTGGAAATCTTTCTGTCCCTGTCTTATTTGTGCATCATGTCACAAAACAGTAACTCATGCAGGTCTTTACCTGTCTGCAGGCTCGGTGGGGATGAGTGTGCGCAGCGCTGTAAATGCTGTGTTGACAGAATTGGTGCGATCTCTCTCCCGCGCGTTGGCCGCGGTCCTCTGGCGATATTCCTTAGGTGGAGATGAGTCCGGGGGGACCAGTCTCGCGGCCATGGCCCCTACATCTATCCCTCCGCCTCCTCCCCCGCACAGCTTCCTCTTCCTGTTCACCTTGATGTGAAAGGCAGATGGGGAAGACGAGGACAAGCGAAAGGCGGCGTTGGAGGAATTGCTGGTACGCTCCTCGGAGCCTGAGCCCTCGCTGCCGTTGTCGTCATCGTCTTCGGAGAGAAGGGCGATGTCGCCGTACAGGAAGCGGCCCGCGGGGGGTGCCGTGCGCAGCATGGCGAATGTCATCTTGGGCGCAACAGCGTGACAGTTACTGGTCAGTCTTGTGGGGGCTTCCTCAAGGCAAGGTTGAGCTGATGAAGCTTGTTGGCTGAAGCTGGTTGATGCTGATGGCTGCTGAAGGTGTCCACCAGAGCTATTTCCCCCAAAACTTCTCTTCTTCACAAAATAAATTAAGCCGGGAGAATCGGATGTTTCCCTTGTGAGTCTAATTTGCCTCAACTTGTAATCTCCCCTTATTGAAGTTGATCCTAAAGCAGGTTAAGAGGTCACGACAACTTGACCTCAGAGCACTCGGGTCATGGACAGCTGCAGGTTCCAAGTCCTTCTTGTTCTTTCTGGATCTATTCACATGCACTTCACATCCCAAAGATCTGTGTCTCCTGCAGCTATCACTTCAAAATAAGAATTAAAAAATCTGTTTATACTTGCATGTTGAAGCAAAAATTGGTCTCGTCTCTCATTGCTTCTCTGCGCGTCTTTCTTTGCCCTTCGTTTCTATATTTGCCCGTTTCAATTCCAGGAACGACTCTGCGCCAGCCGCCTCACTCTCTCGTGCTCTCTGTCCTTTCTCCCTCTCTGTGTGTCTCTGCTCCACATGTGCCTGCAGTCTGAGTGTTTCCGTCTGTCTCTGGTCTTAAAGCCAGTGGGAGGGCAAAAGGACTGCACTGCTCCTCCCTCTGAGCACTGAGGGTCCCTTGGCTGCTCTCGAGAAGCAGGCCGGAGAGACCGGAGGCAAGAGGCAAACCATCCGCAGGAGTTTGTTTTGGCTGCATGCTGATATGTTCCAGGGGAAATCCACCCTAAAACAGATCTTGCATCACCCACAGGGCCCTCTAAAATTTAAGAAATACGGTCGACGTGTTGGATAAAATGCTGTCATGTGGCATTAGTAATAAAGCCGTTATCTTGGACGGTACAGTCAGATGTCAGGTTGATCTATTTCTCTATATATTTTTTTTCTTTTTTCCACAGAAATGTGTCCAGAATCAAAGTTACCAAACTGTCTTTTGAATAACGACTGAATATCTTGAAAGAATTTCTGTTGTGTTAACTTGTTTTCAGTTTCTCATGTGATATGTTCTTCCTGGTTTCTGTCATTAGTCTGACAGGGCACGCTACCAGCAAGAGGTACAACTGGGTTTTGCGTTTGCAGAAAAAAAAAAATCATGTTTCGTTCAACCACTTCCTCGACTGCAGTAAGCTGTGAAGACAGAGTGGCGAGTGTGAGTGTTTTTTCTTTCCCTCCGTCTACATCTCTGATTTCATCCCGGGACAGCTGGCCGGGAGGCATCGCTGAGCTCATGGATGACGCCAAAATGTAGGTTTATCCGACCGCAAGACTTTTATCTGTACGAGCTGTGGCACTAAAAAGCTTTGCAATGTATCTATCCTCATGGGACTCAGACAATTAACATGAATTTAAGGTTCATGCGATTGGAGATTGTAGTAGGAGAGCTGCAACTTTAAACTGCCTCCATCTATCTGTCATCCTCTCTTCGAGAAGGAAGTTAATAGTTCAAAACGAGGTACAGCAAAGGAAGCGGAGACAGAGGCGAGAAGACAGACACAAGTGGGAGTAAATTAGCAAGAGACAAGGCAAGACAGGAGCGTCAAAGTCGAATTGTTTTTTCTGCTTAAACTCTTTGTGATGTTATTAGTCATGATCGCGCAGCTTAACTCTTATTGCCAAGAGACTGTGTGACCTTTATGTGTTTCTTCCTACTTTAAATGTACAGCGGTTAAAGGTTGACAACCTATGTAAAGCTCAGCTATGAAGTCTGTAATCCTCAGCAGTACCTCAGTGAAAACTCTAAACCCAACTGCCATTACTGGTATGCCTCTTTTGTGTAGATTGGCAAGAGTAAGCTGCTGCTGAAAACTAATAGCACAATGAATAATCTGTCAGAGTTACACAATGTTACAGTCGGCATTCATCACTCTCGATTTCTCTGTCTTTTTCCCTCTTTTGCCCATATTTCTCCCTGACTCCCCTCCCCTCGGTGTCCATCCCTGCCCTTCAATCTTAGTCGTGGTGTTTATGCTGTGGTGTTGAGCGAATGAACCAAAGCCAACGCTGGTTGCAGCGGTTGATTGCAGTACATACAGGAAGCACAGAAAAGTGCAGCATAGGTGGGAATTAAACTCCAGTCGGACTACTATAATAAAAACAAAATGTGCTGCTCTTCCTACATACGAGTGCTTCACAGAAGCAGAGAAGCATTAAGTTTTGGCACCGATCGGTTCCTCCTGAAGGTGCAATCAAACAATGCGGTTCTGCTCCTACAGTTCACGTTACACCACCTTTGCAGAGTTCACACTGCTACCATGAATAAATCTCCTTAAGAAAAATAAATAAATAAATAAAAAAATAATCTTCAGCTGCAGAACGTAATGGAAACAAGGAAGAAAGCAAGGGAAACACCCCCCAAGTGTAACAATTTTACGCTTTGTTGGAAAAAACCTTTTCCACTTCCCTTCAACTCTTATTGAACACATCCGTTCATGAGATCAGGCCAACTTCCAATCAATGTTTTAGATTTAAAGGAAAAGAACCTTTAATAATGCTCTTGTAGCTATTTAAACTTTTCCTAATGCCGAAAAACTAAATAAAAGTGGACCAAAAATAACAAAATCCCTCAGTGAAAACAAACTTTGTCTTTCAGGAGCCAGCGCTGTATCTGACAGCTCATCGCTCTTGCGAGGAAGAAAACTAGGACAGTATGTGGTAAACAGTTGGGTTTGGGTTGGAGAACATTTTGGATCTCTTCTAAATATTATTGCTTTGGCATATATGCCTTTAATTGATAGCTGCGGCAGAGACAGACAGAAAATGTGGTGTGTGTGTGTGTGTGTGTGAAGGAGGGGGGGCATGCAACAAAAGGTCAGGAGTTGCGGTAATGTGGCATGTTGATATTGTCAATGCTTGAGGAATCCTGCGATGATTTACAGCCCTGGAGTTAGAGAGAGATGAAGACATGATCTTTGAAACGACTTGTTCTGCGCTGTGCTCTGCCTATCTGCATATTTTTGACTGACCGCTAAAATGTGGAGGTGTATTTCTAAACCAGCTGCGCTCTCTCTGCGGCCCATCATTACATTGCATTAGCATGATCTTCCCCTAGTTTGCATATCCCAGGAGCGTGTGGCTGGTCTAATACAGTATCCAGTTCTCTCTGAATCACTGCCAGAACCCATTCGACTGGGTATACTATCCACTATTTATAATCACGTATGTTTGCCAAGTGAATGTTGCATAAGAAGAAAGGAGTCGCATTACAATTCAGTAATGGCAACATTTACTTTTAAACTACATAAAAATATTGACCAATATTCCTCGACGCAGACGGTGCATTACACAGTGATGCTGAATGTTCCTGTGTCAGATATTATCGTTGTACTGAACTGCAGACCCAATTTGCAGTGTAACACTTACAGTTTTACACTTACGTTGTACATGTATGATGTATGATTTGCATAGCGCAAATAATGAAAACGGTGACATTTGACATGCCGTGTTATATGACACAGTCCTACCAGCATGTGGGAATTGCATCTTGCATAAACTTAGCATTAGGTTTTGAGGCTTTGCACCAACCAAGTGCCAAATGGCCATATCGTGCACTGGTGAACGCATACTTAAAAGCAAGTATATGTTCAGACTTGGAGCTTTTTCACTGGAAACAGCTGCGCGACGCAGCTCAAAGCGGAGCCAGAAGAAAAAGGCAGTTTCAAAAGTTCTTTTATTTGTGAATGAACAGGTAGCCACTCATGGTATTTTTAAGAGGTGTTGATTGTACCGAGGATGTAATTTCCCAAGCACACACCTTCTGGACCGTGGACTTATGGCATTTGTCAGGCTGAAGCAAGTGATTTAGTACGAGCTGGCAAAGAGAGTTTGGCAAATTCATTTTAGAGAATCCCATGAACTAACATCACAGAAAAAAGGCTAATATGATTGATTATTGAAAAATGAGCAGTGAACTTTATGTTCGACTTGCAGCGCTCTTTCTTCTCACACTGGGACTTTGGAAGTTCTTTTTTTTAATGACAGTTTTAGATTTATTTATTTTTTGTGTGTGTTTTTGAATCACGTATTTTGAAATTGAGTGGTGTTCTCCTTTAAAGACACAGCAGCAGCAGTGGTGGCAGCAGCACAGTAGTAGAGCACCATCTGATAGTCATTACCCCTCCCCTCTCCTCCCCCATCCCTTCTCCTCCTCTTCTCCTCTCGCTTGATACTCTTTGCTCAGCTCAGACGTATTATTCATTAGTCTGATGAAAAACACCCACCATCTTAGTAGGGCCCAGCCTCGCGCGCACACACACATACACACACTCTCAGTCAGAATAAGTGAAGTGAACAACTCTGGCACGGGTCAGGGACCTGTCAAAACTCGGAAGCAGGTCTGGACTCGATACCGTACCAGAGAGCAGGCGTCTAGCAGGGGAAAGACACTCCAAGGAACTGAGCTATTTATTGTAGTCCTCGGATAATCGTTTCTATAGCCTCCACCGAAACTGATAGAAAGAGGGAAAAGGGGAAGATTTCTGTTATGATGCCACTAAGCAGACGTCTGGACTGGGTCATTAACAAAAGTAATTGTGTGCTCTCCGCAGCAGGGAGCGCACAAATAATGACAATGGGAAGAAGAGTAGGGATAGAGAGAAAAGAAGGTGGGAAGGTGGAAAGCAGGACAAGGAAGAAAAGTAGGATGGAAAAGGGGGAAGTGAATGGGGGTGTGTGTCAAAGAAGACGAAGAGGAGAGAGCTGGTGGCAGCCTGCCAGCGCTCCGGACTGCAAAGTGTATTGTATGGGGAAAATGGTCGGAAGTGCTCGCCCCCCCAACTTGCAGCCCCCACCACCACTAGCCCCAATTTCAGCCTCATTCAGCCTCAGCGCCAGCCACACTCTACTGTGTTTCCCAAGAGAGCCAGACTCTACAGCTGGCCTTATTAAACTGAGAGAGGCAGAGAGACAGAAAAAAGACCGGGAAGGAAAGAGAGGTCACACAACTGGAAGACATCAGTCGAAACTGCGCTCGCTCTCTTAGTTTTTTCCGTTCATATCCCGTTTTATGATAGAGTTTCTCACAAACACGCTTGCGGTGCACTGGGTTCAAGCGTGTAGTAAAAAGCTATTGTTTGATTTGACATCCCTCAGAACGCTGTAAAACAATGAAAGAAATGCTGGGAAATTAAAGTCTGTGTGACTTTTATCTCGTTTGTCTGAGTGCGTCTGAAGGCTGTCGTCATACATCTGAGCCCTGCTGTATGAGCATGTCTCCTTTTAGTTTGTGAACACAGTGGGCCAATAAAAGAAACTTTGAGAGACGGAAATCTGCTTCTAATCCTTTATCTTGTGGTCGTTTTGAATTTGCTTCATTTCTACTGCATTCTGAGTTTCTGTTCCACCTTGAGGGGGTTTTCATCAGATGCCTTTACTTTAAAATAACACAATTAGGTTAATTCACACATGCACTGTGTTTTTTCCACAAGCAGCTTCTGGTCACTGATCTACTCCTATGGGAAAACTGAGGGTAAAGTCCACCTTCACTGCATAATGAGAGTCTGCAAAGGGATACACACTCCATTTC